TATGACCATCTAATTTGGCTTTTTATTATCCTGCTTTGACATCCCAAAGACGGATAGAGTTATCAATACTACCAGAAGCTAATGTATTTCCATCAGGAGAGAAACAGACTGACATAATAGCACTACTATGACCATCTAATTTGGCTTTTTATTATCCTGTTTTGACATCCCATAAACGAATAGACATATCACCACTACCAGAAGCTATTGTATTTTCATCAGGAGAAATACAGACTGACCAAACACTCCCACAATGACCATCCAGTTTATTCAATTCATGGACCTTTATGTTCTACCATTTACAATTGAACATATAAGCACCATTAAAATTGACTCCACTGATATCCACATTCTCAAATTCTGATCCGTTAAAATTGCATCGAACAAAGTTTCCTCCAATCAAAGAAGTATTCTTGATCCGTATGTTCTCTAAGCATTGATTTCTGAGATCTACCTTCATGGCCACTAATATACTAAGTCCATTTGATCCACATTGAATAAATTTTAGATCTATGGTAGTTAGTAGAACTAAAAATTTGATAAAAGCTATGATCCCTTTGTTATTATTCATCCTCTTGATCAGATCCGCTCTTTCCTTATCATATGTTTCTTGAGAATAGTCATCCTAACTAAATTTATGATCCTAAATATTCCTCAAGACATTAGTTATATTCTTTACTTACTTCTTGACATCCTTTACATTCTCTTACTTCTTGATTAAAGATTCATAAAACTGATGATTGTTTATCTTTGACAGGAATCCAATAATGTCTGAAACTTTCTCTTTTCTAAGTATATCAAGAATCTTCTAATAGAGAGATTCATCTATATACTGGATATAGGTTAGCATCTCATAAAGATCTTCCTTCATTTAATAAACTTCTTCTTCATCTCCCCTAAAGATAATATTTATAATACTTACTTAATTAATGATTGAATCTATTGGATTCCTTAGTTAGACTTCTCAATAAAAGCCTTTATATGTTGGTCCCACCAGCTCTTGGTCTTATCTAACTCCTTCATATAAGAATTCTTCGAAGCATTCCAATTGATTAAAGTTGTTCCTTCAACAATGTTGACTAATTTTTCTATATCAGTGTAGGAGGATTCAGCTAGATTGGTGTTTTCATTAATGAGGTTTAAGTATGATTAGTTTTCCTTTTCAATCTAATCGTATACTTATTTGATAGATTGTGACAATTCTTCCCAAATTTTCTTCATCATTAATTCTGTTTGAGTGAGCAAGGCTTTAAAGGCCACTCTCTATTGGGTTAACCCAGATGTCTCCTCAAGCTTAGAGTCTTTTAATTTCTATATAGCCCTTTATCTAAATATTTAAATTGGGATGGTTAATTTCTAATCCACTCCATGTTCATATTGACATACTACACAAAGTTTCCTTTAA